GGTTTTAATGTCGAAATTTTAGGTACCAGGTGTCGTTTAAACCGGTCAAAGTTAGTCTTCATTTTTTCTCCCAAAACATCGTGCAAAGTACGCCTCTATAAAAACGGCGATAAAAATCATACCAAAGAGAACTACAGAAAAATTTTTATATTCTTTTATTGTGCAGGGATATTGTAATTATTGTGCAAAGTTTGATGGTGAATAGACTTGCTTAGCGCTGCCAACATCTTCCTAAAGTTGCGTGACGATTTGACCATTTAGGCAAGGCGAAAACGGCTTTTTTAACGAGTTTTCAAACTTTTTAAAATTTCAGCCGGAAAAAAAATCGCTGGAACTTTAAAATATTTTTTTCGAAACTAGTACACAGAAAGGGATGTATTGGCAAAATGAAAAAAAATTCGATTTTTCGTCACTGATTTTCGAATCTCGAAATTTTCTGGCGGCTTCTCTTAAATTTTCGATTTCCGTTCTCAGCCGCGAGAAATGCAAAAACTAAAGCTAAGTATATTTCGGTTTCTATTTTCGTATTTTGCTTTTCTTTTGCTTCTAGGAAATTTTGAGCGTTACTTTGTGTAATGATACGAAATTTTCAGCGTTGTTAGCAGCCACAATCCGAGGAAATTTTGACAAACGACTTTGGATTGTTTTGCCAATAATTTATCAACCTGATAGAGTAACGCGAATTGCGATTAGCTATACTAGACACGCGTATAAAAAATATCGTAATTTTACAGTGTGTTGTTATGTTACGTATCGTACTTGGATTACGTATCGACTTCTTAATGCCTTTGTGAAAAGTAAATGATGTGGCTTTCAGCTTACAATCATTTTCGTGCTCAAAAAGTCTTTATGGAGAATCAGTTTTTTGAAAGCTTGATTAAAAGGAAGTTCGATACAATTGGTCAAAATTTGTGAGAAAGCATTGATATCACAGTACATGCTATTGGCATTGGCTAAAGCGAGCAGAAAAAGAGAATTTCCCACGTTTCGAAATCCCAACAAAATTTTTTTTAAAAGCTCACTTTGGACGTCGAATCAGTTATTCAATAAGGTGATGAAACCGCTTTTAGAGTCCAGAGAGCATAAGGTCTGGTAACTCTGTTGATTTGAAAGCTAAGCTAACTCTAACTTGTCAAAATGTACTTTTCCGTGGTAGTCTCTAACTCCACTGAAATTGGACAGTCTCAACACCAAATTATGGAACGAGAGTAAAACTAGACGGGCGAGTTATCACGTCACTTTCATTAGTACCCGTGTGCTAACCCGTGTAGTTACCTACAGAGAGAGCGATTGGAAATAAGCACTCACCTTTGCTGCTTCGGCTTTAAGCTGGCAGATTGTGTAGATATTTTCATCCTGGATAGAATACAAAGGTACTAATAAAACGAACGAGTCTATCATTATCAATAAAGATTTAGAAATGCAAAGACTAGCAAAAACTAACGATAAAAACCGACGCTTCGGTGTCATCATGACGCCATTGTCAAGGAGAAATAAAAAATGAAGTTTGTGGCAAGGTGTAACACTAAATTAGCATAAATATGTTACGAGCTAATTAAACAAATACTTTTGCGCGAATTGAATCGCTTTGCACGTTCAGAGTGGGTTTTAAGTCTCTGATGAAAAGCATTTCGTTCACCAAACAATCGAACTTGTTACTACACTTTTTCAGAATGCTAAAACGTTTCAGTAGGTCTTTCGGGACTTCGCTGTGCCGTTCGTGGTAGTGTTTATATATTGAAGATGCCTTTCGTTTATGTCCATCCACGCGTGTGTGTAAGTGTCCGCGTGTATAGCCCACATAACCCGCATCACACAGGTCACATTGAAATTGATAAACGACGCGTTGTTGGTTGACAATCTGTGGCTTGATTTCTCGTACTTTAAGATCTTGGCCAACTTTGCGGCTAACAAATACTGGCTGGACAGTTGTCTGCACCTTCATGCTAAGATTCTTGAGCTCTTTCTTAACATAATTTGCTGATTCCTGATCTTTGAAAGGTATGACCACACGAACAATGGATATTGGTTCTTTGGGCGTCTGTGTGGGCTGCGTACCAACAATTCTTGATTGTAAGAAGGTGTTAATGGTAGAATTTACCAGGCGTTCCGGGTATTTAAGCCGTGCGAAAACTTTCTTTAGGCGATCACACTCATCAGAGAAATGGGCCCAGGAGGAAGATAATCGGTGTGCGCGATCCAGCATAGTTTTCAGCAAGCTCCGTTTGTAGCGATTGTCTACATGGCTTTGGTAGTGTAATAGTAGGCCCGTGTTTGTTGGTTTCACATGCACCTCGGATTGAAACCAAGGTATATGTGAAACCAACAAACACGGGCCTACTATTACACTACCAAAGCCATGTAGACAATCGCTACAAACGGAGCTTGCTGAAAACTATGCTGGATCGCGCACACCGATTATCTTCCTCCTGGGCCCATTTCTCTGATGAGTGTGATCGCCTAAAGAAAGTTTTCGCACGGCTTAAATACCCGGAACGCCTGGTAAATTCTACCATTAACACCTTCTTACAATCAAGAATTGTTGGTACGCAGCCCACACAGACGCCCAAAGAACCAATATCCATTGTTCGTGTGGTCATACCTTTCAAAGATCAGGAATCAGCAAATTATGTTAAGAAAGAGCTCAAGAATCTTAGCATGAAGGTGCAGACAACTGTCCAGCCAGTATTTGTTAGCCGCAAAGTTGGCCAAGATCTTAAAGTACGAGAAATCAAGCCACAGATTGTCAACCAACAACGCGTCGTTTATCAATTTCAATGTGACCTGTGTGATGCGGGTTATGTGGGCTATACACGCGGACACTTACACACACGCGTGGATGGACATAAACGAAAGGCATCTTCAATATATAAACACTACCACGAACGGCACAGCGAAGTCCCGAAAGACCTACTGAAACGTTTTAGCATTCTGAAAAGGTGTAGTAACAAGTTCGATTGTTTGGTGAACGAAATGCTTTTCATCAGAGACTTAAAACCCACTCTGCACGTGCAAAGCGATTCAATTCGCGCAAAAGTATTTGTTTAATTAGCTCGTAACATATTTATGCTAATTTAGAGTCTATCATTGTTTCATATAATTACCTTAACGAGGTACAGTCAGATACCTATGCCCACTTATCTCGAGCAGAATCTGATAATTTTCCTCGGCCCGCCAAAACGTTCAAATTTTTCTACGGTATCTTGACTCTCCAATAAGCGAAGATATCTACAGAATGGTCAGCGGGAATATATTTTTATAAAAGTCCGGTAGAAAATTTAGATCTCCCAGAGTAATCTTTGGGTTACAACAGAACCACGCTCTTTGCATTAAGTGTGGTTCCATTATACTACAGTTTGAGTTACCTTACCAAGCAGAAAATCACAAATCCTAAAGGCAAAATAAAGGAGCACTTCTCGACTTTGGTACACTGTCATACAAGAACAGTTTAGGATGAAATCAAACATGGCGCAAATTAGCTGATCAGTAAGTTTCAAGACTGAAAAGTGCGAATAGTCCGGCGTACCATGTGAGGAGTTTAGCAAATACCTCTTTTGATTTTGAAAACGTAGTTTTCGCGGCTTTCTCGGGTTCCTTCTGCTGAGACATACGATGAAGGTCCTCGTCTATATCCACCAATATCAGAAAAGCACAAAGCTTAATAACTTAAATGAGCATGTTTGAAGCATAATAAATCACTTGGATGTGAGTACACTTTGTATTTAATAGCAAGAGCGATATCATAATATTGTAAAGCATTTCAAACCATCGCCAGTGATCATTAGTAAGAAATTTACGAGCAGTTAATGCAATTTTTGCCGATCGCACTCTCGATAAAATCACTCGTCAATTTTCCTTTTCTATTCTTTAGAAAAGTTACCCTGATGGCTAGAAACAGAGCGCTATTACCGAGCACGCAACCAGACACAAAGATATCGCGGTTTTACTCCATGCGAAAGATCTGTTCTCACAGCACTATAATACAAGCACAAAGCGTATGCACCACCCTAAGGGAAGGATCACATCACGATCATATCGGGTGGAGCTTGAAGACAATGTGAGCTCAGTAACTAAAGATTGTGAGGGTTATAAATTTTCGGATTGAAGCAATGACAATCCAGATTCCACCTCACACGATGAACGCACGTCATCGTCTCATATATATATATATATATATATATATAACTAACTGCAGACAGTACTGTTTCGGCCTTCTGGGCCTCATCAGTGCAGTGCTAATGCTAGGATGGTGGGGAACCGAGACGGCCACCCCGAACGACCCAACCTTTGTGGTATCGTCTAAGCCATGCCAGAGTGCGTACCACTGGTACGCATACTACGTTAAAAAGGTTACAAACCTGAGGGGTAGGGAGGTTTTATTATGTAAAATTTGTGCTAAAAAGCAATATATGTATGTACCTATATCTGTATATATGTGTGTATAGATATACATATGTATATCGGACTAACCATTTCCGACGCCTCACCGAGGAAAAGTGAAAACATCAAAAAAGAAATATGCCGTATCTTCAATCACAATGGGTTACGCATCACCATCGAAGCCAACAAACAGACCATCAACTTCCTAGACGTCACCTTAAACCTGAACAAAAACACCTACTAGCCCTTCACAAAACCCAACGCCACGCTACAACACGTCCAACGTAACAGCAATCACTCACCAACGGCCACAAAGAACCTACCCGCCGGCATCAACAAACGACTGTCATCCCTTTCATCCGACAAAGCATCCTTCGACCAAACCGCCCCTCCTACCAAAAAGCACTCGACGAAAGCGGATACCGGTACACCCTACAATATGAACCACCCACGACTAACAAACGAAAAAACAAACAACGGAACAACATGCTCTGGTACCGGCAACACCCCATTCAGCAAAAATGTCGGCACAAATATCGGACACAGATTCCTTGCCCTCGTAAACAAGCAGTTTCCTAAAGACCACAATCTCAGAAAAATCTTCAACCGAAATACAATTAAGATCAGTTACAGCTGCATGAACAACACCAAACAGATCATCGATAATCACAACAAACGCGTTTAAAATTCACCCCAACACATCGACGACATCGCAATGGTACCGATATAAAAGACATCAAAACTTGCAACTGCCGACAAAAGAACACTTGTCCGCTTAACCGAAACTGCCTCCAAACATCACTAATCTACCAAGCCACCGTCACACATAAGGACAACAACGCTTCTGAAACATACATCAGACTCACAGAAAACGACTTTAAAACTAGATACAGAAACCACACCGTATCTTTCCTTAAAACATGGAGACTCTACCGAACTCAGCAAACACATCTGGACTCTCACAGTAAGTAACGTCGAACACTTTATTTCATCACGCATCCTTTCATCTAGATCACCCTGAAACAGCGCAAGTGAAAGATGCAACCTCTGCCTAAAAGAAAAACTACTCATCATCTGCCGACCTGAATTATCATCACTCAATAAACGTAATGAACTTGTGTCCTCATGCCGCCACAGAAACAAAGCATTACCGTGCAATAGTTGGAAAAAAGCACTTGATTCACCGCCACGCCTCTCATGCAAATTTGCAAAGTATATGAATGATGGTAACGAATATTCTTGTCAATAAAATCCCCTGATGAGTGAGCAATCACGAAACAGGCTTGTAGGGATAAATACGTAGTCGTTTAGCTCCAGAACAGTACTAAATAAGCCCCTCAATCTGGAGTTCAGCGCATTAGATGATGCTGATAAATCCCAGAAGAAGCGCTCCCCTGAATAAACACCGTAAAGTTGGACGAATAAATTGAAACAGAATATAACAAACTTCTCTCTAGAAATTATATACTTCACCCTGTAACGTATTGCAGAACACACAAGGTTGGAAGAAATGCACTCACCAGGTTGATTCTTTGTTGCTTCGATAGTGTCAATGACTTCTTTCCAGTCAATAGTGTTTGATTGCTCTTCTCGTTCCTCCTCATTAGCAGAATACCTGTCGATTAAAAAAAGACACTTTCTCATTCTTATACTTCAGTAAAAACACAGGCATTGCTCTTTGAAAAAAAAGAAGAAACCTTTGAGATACAAAAAAGTTAATAAAATCACAGCTAGATATATCCAAGATAACGATATGAGTTTGAGTACCTTTTTTGCAAGAAGCTGTATGAAGGATACCCAAGGTCAAGTTTTTTTCCCATATTAGTGATATGCTTTTCATAGTAGTCCACGTGAATGCACAAGTAAGCATATAAGCGTTTGTCTGAGACAAAATGGCAAGTTTACTGAACTTAGTGCACTTAAACTTTTGAGAGTTGACGTTTCATCCTCATCCAAAGAAACACAAAACATCGAACGCAATTCTGCAATTTTCTCCATTGTCAAGCTTTTCTATTTGATCATCCTGGAGAATGGCTAACCATTATTACGCCGTCATAAAAGAAGAAGTATGCTCCAGGAACCATAAATTACTAGTTGTTTCTCTGCCAAATAATTTTTTGCTAAGTATATAACGGGTTATTGTTTACTTTCTTTCAATCTGGTTTTTTTTTTTGCTTGTTTTTTCGTTTTCTCATTTGAATATCATCGAGGCTCATTTTTTTACAGCACCTTTCTCTCACATCACTGAGGTACTGCGCAATCTCTTCGTGGCCATGTGTGCTAGCGACGATCTCCGGTGACAAAGGCATTTCTTTGTACGAATCAAAGGCTATTTTCCCAGCAGGTAAGTTAAAGATAAGATGAATGAACCATTTAGCATTAACTTCTGCTGCTTTGTAGAGCAGCCGCAGCAGCAGCTGAACTGATAATGATGCTATCTGTACACCAGAAGGCCCTACAACACAAAATTCAAAAGTTAAAGGCGGCACTAAGGAATCTTCACCTCACTTGGAATCGATAAGCGACAATTTTTCTCATCTTCAACGTTTTTGAGGCCAAGTAAGGCATTCCTATTCGGAATTACATTTTTCTTTACCTTTTTTCTG